TCCTTTAATTTATGCACGTTCATAACAATAGAAATCAGGGGAGGCAGAGAACAAAGTAAAACCATCTACCAATGTACGCTTGTTGGTATGCCCTTCATCAAAACTACTAGCTCACCAATAAAGATAGGTTTGTGCTTGCAGCAGTTATCATTGCTGCAGATTGCTATGGGTTGCTTAACTGTTTGGCTGATGCTCTTACCTTCATAAATATACATTTTTTCTTAATGTAATAAAAGCATAAGATAGAATAACTATCTATTTTCCCATTCTATTTCTATGGAATGCAGAATCTGTAAACTTGAATAACTTTTCCATAGAGTTAACCACACCCAGAACTACTAAATTCATTAATTTAAGGATGAGCTAAAGGAATTCAGTAATCACTGACTTTATACTCTTACATTTTAATGAGCTGAATAATCTTGTTGAGAAAACATACTTTGCATATTAACTCTTCACTGACATTGTGAAGTATAAATGTCATTTGAAACTGAAGCAAACCAATAGCTTTTTACTTTTTTAATAAGCTACTGAGTTAAACTTCTGAATTGTGATTTTAAACTCATAATTTTTGTGATAAAGAATTCTGATTTGTTTGATTTTTTTCATTTTTTCATTTTTTTGGATTTTTTCTACATTTTTTTTCTTCTATTGAAGATAAAAACTATCAAAATTTACTTTTCTTGAAATATATATTTGTCCTTTATTTCATTTTTTTCTCCTTTGCTTGATTACTTTGTTAAAATAGTATGACCCAGAACAGCCTTGGGCACAAGAGATCACAGAGAAGGCAAAGTAAAGAAAAAGAAAGGAAAACATTTTTCGTGGTTTAGGCCTACATAAATATTTGCAATGATAATTTAAAATTCAGAGCAGATCTCTAGTTCCACATAACTGGTCTTTCCAGTTTCCTATATAAAAATGAATAGGGATACAGTAGGCTATTTCAAATGTTATATCTTTAACATATACAAAATGATGTAAATTTTTGCTGTCTCTATCTCTCTTTGTCTACCTCTCACTCTCCATTCACACTTTCTCTTTCAAATCCAAAGACATAATACAAGTGTTTCAAAGTCCTATTTTAATTAGGCACTCATATGCAAGTGACATAGTACATAGACATTTATATTTGTAATACATAACTGGTGCTGAATTACATAATAATAATCAAAGCAACTAGATTTTTGATAATGCAATTGTAAGAAAACAAAACCCAGTGCAACACACATGTTCCTCGTTTTCTTCTTCAAGTTTCATGATATTCTGCATAGGCACATTATAGCGTCTGCTATATGTTTTTTTCCTGTATGACCTTGTTAAATGGTCCCTATTACCTTTCCTATCACTTTTTTTTTAACTTTAATGCGATTTCTCTCTTTAATTGGAACAGAAACTCTGTGAACTGCAAAGATATAACTGTTTTCCACAGCCATACAAACCATGCATTCAAGCAAGTCCATAAATTATTTCTTAAATTTCCCTGTGAAAGTGGTAAGTGCCTAAGCTTCTGAAATCCATGGCTTTCAATGAAAAAGGGAAATTGGATGCCATGATGTGTACCTCTGCATCTCATGAAAGAAATGCCTTGGTTTATGCCTCGGATTATGAATCATTCTTCAAACCAACAGAGAACAATAAGATTGCAGGGCACCAATTACTTTAATTATTTGAAGATTAGGCCTTTTCCTACATAGCAAAACATACAAAGTTTTCAGTATTTTACTTTTTGTCTTATTGAAAATAACTGGAGACACTTATGCATGCTGTTAACAAACCATCACTTTAAAGTGCCCTACTTCTAAGATATTGAACTTTTATCTTACAGTATTTCATTACAATTCAGCTCCATTGTACTTTATTTACTACATGGTTATTTTCCACCAATTAATGCATTTAAAAACAAGAGAAACAGTTACTAATAAATGAGATGTAACGTATTACTTTGTTAAAATATCTTAATATGAAAAACCTACTAAAATATTTCAGAAAGATTAGGATTATGCTATAGAAGCTTGTCTAAATATGAAGCAATAGGGCTTCACAGCATTTTGTTTCAATTCACAAAGCAGTTCTTCATGTTATAATGCAAAGAGCTTTCTTTTAAACATATGAGAAGCTAATTCCTTTTTTCTAATGGAAATAAAGAATATTAGCACTTTGCGAATGATTGTAAACATTATTTCCCCAAGGATATCAGGATGAAAGCATTCTATTCTTTGCTTCAAGAAAATTTAGCTGAACATGCTGGATAAAATTCAGTACTATCTTAGAGAGATCTTTTAAAGCTGAAGTCAGAATGGAAAATCTTTAATTTATTTTGCATTTGATTTACTAAAACATGCTTGCGTGTTCTAACCTTCTGATGGATTGCTATGAGTTTACAGTACATTGACACCAATTTATAATGTGAATTACTACATGCATGATACAAATAACATTTCAGCAGTGCATATTTGTTATTCTAGGCTGTACTTGAAAAGAGAAAAATATTTCAGGGCTCACTTTGTAATGAATAGAGAACTTTTTGCATATCAACAATTATCTCTGTCCAATAACCATTAATAATAATTTACTGAGCATATCAGGGCAGTTCATAGCATGCCGAAGAAAGGGATTTTATAACTGCTTGAGTAGGTTGTAGTTTAGAAGGATAAACAAACATATATAGTACCCAAGATATTTGTGTGTGGAATATGAATTAAGAGAGACTACTGCTGTTATTTTGGCTGTGCTATATTACTTCAGTTTTTATGCGGAACAACTTTATGCAGAAAACTAGAGCTTTACTGTTGAGAGACTATGGCAATAGGCTTATAGACTAAAGATGAGTAAACACCGATACCAAGAGAAGAAATGTGTTACATTTGCTGAGATTTTAGAATAAAAAGAGCTCAGAAGAGATGCTAAAAGATTAAATTCAAGAAGTTAAAGGGCCCTTTAAGAACAGGAATTTGAAGAAGCATTAAGTCAAGAATGGAAAAAATGATGTCATACTAGAAAGAATTTGAACGTCTACGAATAAACATTAAGCTTGAAACTGCTCTCATTAAAGGGCTGCTCACCAACTTCTAAAAGAACTTGGACTCTACCTCTTTTTTTTAACAGAGCTCTATATGCTTATAACAGCCTCTTATCTCTTGCAAACTCTGCAACATTGTTTGCTACACCTCAGCTCTTTTAGAGAGCAGTCGTCTGTTAACCTTGCCTGGAAAAGTTTCGCTACCATTCCCAAGCTAATACTTCAATGAGTAGAGAACACATTCAAGTTATTGTAACATAAGAACTTTGACATCGGCAAGGCAGTTGTGCAAACTAATAAAAAAAATAGAATAAAAAAGAAACCTACCAAACTCAACCCTTTCTCTCTTATTCTTTCTTTACAACCTTAGCTAAATGTATTTTATTAGAAGTAGTCAAAAAAAAAAAAAAAAAGATTTCAGCATAATGCAGCTGGAAATACATGGGGTCCTATATGAACTCTGGACCTAGCTACTGAAATCCCATTGGCTTTCTGTTGCTTGGGCACCAGCTCTCAATTTCCTTATCATTTTTTCAGCTGGAGGTCAAATGGACACCTTTTAGCCAAGCTTCTGAAAGGGGAATGAAAATCTGAGGTTCAAGGCCCTAGCACAACCCATATTTACCAATTGTCAGGTTCTATAACCAACTGATTTGTTTTATAACACTTTTGTGGTCTAAATGATAAAATGTAGCAGAATTTTCTCAGAGCTAAATTTAAAATTGAGCTCCAATACTTTCCAGTGAGAAGATCAGTGTTACAATGATCTACCTACACTTTAGGTAGTCCTTATATTTTAATAGTTTTTGCAGCAGAAAAGACTAAAATGATAGATTTGAGAGGTTTGTGTTTATCAGGAAGGGGTGGTGAAACAGAGGATCCTTTGACTCCCATTAGCTCTGCTGGGTTTTCCAGGGCACTCCGTGTATTAGCAGACAGGCAGGTAAGCAGCTTCTGGCCTCACTGTTCTCTAGCTGTGACTGCACGAAGTGCAGCCTCACTCCTTTGTGTTCATGGTGATGCTCAATTTTCAGCAATATCTGAGAAATTAGAACCCACCTCCTTGTGCACACCTGTCTCTTAAAAACCCTAGTGGTAGGGCTTAACTGAAAAAAAAAAAAAAGCCTTATGCACTAAAGAACTGCTGGTTGCCTCTCTGTAACGCACTGCAAGCAAGTCAGATTTGGAGGTAGAATACCTTAAATTCTCAGCTTGGCTCTCCTGTTTGTAAGTTTTCAAATAGCTTTATTGTTTGAAAAAGAGCATTATTAATAGACTATAGGCATTCACTTGGTATCATGAATTGTTGATAGCTTCCGGAAATAACATTGTAGCAAATGATTTCAAAAGCTATTGCATTTTCAGTTTCTACACTCTCCAGTGATAAATTTCATTTATTAATAGCTCTAAAAATTTCTCAGTCTTATGTAGACTATATTATATGTATACATAAATACGGACATAAAACATATGTATACATACAAAACTATACACTAACACACACGATGCTCATACACATATAATTATTGATGCAGACTACCCAGCAGATATAGGTGCACTTTATCCAACTATGTGGTAAGTTTAATGTTCTTTATCTCTTGCTTAAGGACAAGCAGAGTCTCACACATGTTTGAATAGTGTGGTAAAATAATATGCGTGTTTCAGAAAATTAGCAATGAATGAAATATATCACTGGGGAATATACAAGTAGGTCATTAGAAAATAGCATTTGGCATATGTGCCCAAATGCTTTATTAGTTGGTTCTGACTTTCCCTATTAGTTGATTCT